CCGCTTATTTCCCATAAAACGCTCTTTAGATACATGCTGTTCCAATCTAGCCAAGTATTGCACTAATACTTCAAAGATCAAGTTCTCAATAATTTCAAATGCAAACTGTTTAAGTCGATATTGAAGTTATGTGAGCTCCTGGAAATGTGAAACAAGTTTAGTTGAGCAGTCAATTAGTAGTTTGTCGATTTACATACATTATATGTATGTTTTCACTAGGTTTCAATTACATAGTTATTATTTCACATAGGTACAGTACGGTTCACGAGTTATAGCGAGTGTGAAGTTAGCCGCAATTCAGTTTTGCGCATATATACTCGCAAATAAATGGGTTAAACAATAAAACAATTGTGTTTAATAAGAGTCAATCCCTAGCATAATCCTGTCCAGCATACATCGCCGCTTTGGTTCCTAAAATACGTTATTGCGCAGTTTTCTGCGCGAACTTCACACCCGCCACAACTTGTGAACCGTACTATATAGCTCAAACCTATAAGAGGCCTTAGTTCTATTTTAATTAACAAGTTAATTTTAAGATAATTGACAGAAGCCCTAAATGTCAAATTGTACCGTATTTTGGTTCCAAAATTGGAATTAGCAGCCAGCGTAGTCCAATTGCAGTAGTTAGAAGTTAAGTTTGAATTAAATATTACAAGGATAAGAAAAAACTTCAAGCAATTGGTACTTGTCCCGCATTAGGGCGCAGGTTCAAAAACTACCAAAGTAATAATGTTTCTTTTTTCAAGTGATATGTACTTTTGAGAGATCACTGAAACGATGAAGGAAAACATCGTGAGGAAACCTGGGCTTACAATTTCTAATTATAGGTAAAATTTGTATGCTGAAAAAAGATAACATAGCGTGTGAAAATGTAACTTACAACCCTCATGTAACCTATGTTTACAATTAATACATGATTTTGAATTCGAAAAGTTTGGAAATACCAACCCGAATTGAACAAGTGTGGTGATTAATGCTCAAACCGTCTCCGAACGAGAATGCTGCTTGACATATTACTTTTAAGTTTTCAATTTGTTGCATTAACTAAGTTCTCTCCACATCACCTAAAGGTTGTCTAGTAAGAATGCCCATGGGTGAAGCCCAACCCTGTACTCTAGTTGCAAAAACTTAAATAAATAAATGTTATATGAAAAATAACTACTTACATCTCTGTCTGCCACAATTCTAAACACCATCAAACTTTCTTTCATTTTTTTATTTTTTTTAATCGCCCCACACTACGATTTTCTTCTGTGTCGTGGGTGCGTTTACAGACATACAAGTTCACATACACATTACACCCAGACCTGAAACAACAAACTGTGGATAACATAAAGAGTTGTTCCGTGCGGTAATCAAAACTGCGACACGTTGTGCGGCAGTCAGTTGCCCAATCGCGCAGTCAATATAAGGTTTCCATGCGATAAAATAGTGTCACAGCTAGGCAAGTAACTGACATCGTTCACACGATTCTGAGCTTACAAATATACGATCACTTGGGCGAGTAAACACAATATCGGATAACTTCCTACATATTTTTGCACTTGAGATACATCATACTATTTTCCCCCTAGAGTGTTGTGTACACTTCTACAACGATATGATTTTAGTCGGTTGTTTTATTGACGCTTTCTGGATAAGAATGCAATATGGAATCTTCAAACAGGGACACGTAGTGCTTAGCCTCATTGCCTATTGACTGCTATTTTGCTAATCTCCGTAAAGACTGGTTTGATTTTTTAAAAACCTTGCCCTACACTAAGATTTTCTCCTGTGCCGTGGTTGCGTTTACAAACATACAAGTTCATATACACATGACACCCAGACCTGAAACAACAATTCGTTGACTACACAAAGACTTGCTCCGTGATCGAACCCGCTACACGTTGCGCGGCAGCCATTTTACCCAGCCACTGCGCCAACCGTGCAATCTTAATTGACTGAATAGAATTGAATAAATTATTTGTTACAGTACCTATATTTATCCAAGATGGTTATAAGAGCCTTTTAAAAGATCACGAGCCGAGTAGCGTGTGACACCACGCATGGGTACCGTTATCATATTTCAGTAAAATATTTTTTTTTAGATCGTATACTTAACCATTTGATAAAATTATAGAGTCAGTGATTGACCAGTAGCGGGAGCATGGTCCACGTCACCGAGCTTGGCTCTGCCAGAGACGACTGCAAACCTCATTAAGATATGTGCCGATACTACGAGAACTGCCTTTATCCATCCACCTAACGTCAGCCTCCTAAGATGGATGTTCGAGGCTTATAGGGATTAACCCATTGGCCGACACGACTATCGGTACAATGATAGCCGAATCCACATTCCACATGTCGACAACCTCGTGAGCTAAGTCTAGATCTAATTTATATGTTTATCTTTCTCAGCTTATACCAGGTTCTCGTCATGGGGAATGGTAACATCTATTTTCATCGTATCAATTATTCCCATTAATATACTCCGTATCGAGCAGACGTGTTAATAATTACCTACAATTCTAAACACGCAGTCCCTAATGGCATTATCAAAATTAGCGCTAAACCTATAAATAGACCTAACAAGACCAAGTAATACAACATCTTAAGAATTTAACTTGAAATCACAAAACTGATTAAAGGCTGCAAAATAATAAATTTCATAATCTAAATTCTACGAAAACAATATCAATCTATTTTGTTAATCAAGTTCTTGTAAACACAACAGCCAATTACGAAGTCGTTTGCTTGATGTTACATAAAAAATTGATACGAGATCAAGGACGGTGAAACAGTCTCTTGAAACAATGACTGTGGCACCTTCTCCTAAGGGGGGAAAATCATCGAATGACTTCTCCCACCTGGGTGATGCGGGAGGGAGTATCAGACTCTTATGTGCATCATACTAATATGCATCATACATACCTACATATGTACAATTTTTTGAACGGTGCCCCAAATATTATCAAGTCCTATGCCGTGCGTTTACAAACACACAATATCACATACTACATGACACTAAGACCTGGAACAACAATTTTTTTTTTTTATGGCATAAGCCGGTAAACGAGCAGACGGATCACCTGATGGAAAGCAATCGGCGTCGCCCATGGACACCTGGAACACCAGAGGCGTTACAAGTGCGTTACCGGCTATTTGTGGATTAGGAGTTTGAGGATTGTTGGGGATTCAGGGATTGGGGAGATTGGGGAAGGGGAGGGAAATTGGGCCTCCGGTAACCTCACTCACGCGACGAAACACAATGCAAGCGTTGCTTCACGTCGGTTTTCTGTGAGGCCGTGGTATCACTCCGGTCGAGCCGGCCCATTCGTGCCGAAGCATGGCTCTCCCACACTTAAATTTGTGGATCACACAAAGAGTTGCTCTGTGCTGGAGTCAAGTTAAATAGAAGCTTGGAATAATATAAGATATAGCCCGACCCGTAGATCAGACAAAATATTACTGGATTCGTACCAGTTTAAAAAAATCTCAGTATGAATATTATAGTGCCCTATTAAATGGCATTGTTAAGATAACTGGAAAAACTTATGAAAATAATGTATATGTCTATAATATGTTTCTGTCTAGCCTTTTTGAGAGTAAAAAGCATGATATATGGCAAACAACTAAATAATTAGTAATAATAAGGCGGAGACTCCCCAACTCACCGAGCGGGCCCGGGCATGGTAGCTAGCTATAGCAACAGAGAGACAACAGAAATGTGAGTGGCTGAAGGGTTAAGAAACCACCACCGCTTTCTACTCAGATCATAATAATAATAATGTACCTAAACTTCAATTAGTACTAACAATGGATATTTATTTTAGTAGGATGAGAAAAGACTCCCTGGCGTAATTTATAGACCTATTTGAGTTAAGAGGCTAAGTAAATGCTAGAACAATTAAGGAAGTTTATTTATGGTTTTAGCCCATTAATTTTAAGAAATTGGAGCTCAATTAATCGGAATAGTGTTTAGCATCTAACCAGAGACGAGTTCGTGGGAGTCTAGGGAAGGTTTAAAAGGTGAGAAAAATAAACTTTTTTAGGCGGCACGTAGTTTGCCGGGTCAGCTAGTTTTTAATAAAATAAATAAAATAGATATTTTTTTCTTATCTATTTTGTTAATTAGTAATGTATGTCGCACAAAAGTTACCTTTAAAATGAGAACCTTTTTGTTATAAAAGAAATATATTTTTAACAGTTATAGAGGGTTTGAAATTTAAAAAAAAAATCGCTAAATGTGCGTTTCTCTCCAAATATATAAAGGTATGCACACTCGCGAAAAGACGTTCTATTGAGAATGCTTAAAAATTTTCAAAAATCGAACTAGTCAATTCGCAAACATGCGTAAAATGAGAATGCAATTTTTTTTTATAGTTTTTTTTTTTGATGGCCTAACGTTTGTCTATTGTCTTCATTTTGAGCAACATTTCGACACACATGCTACTGAGTGATAAGTGCTCAATTGAAGCATGCTTTAGCATGTGTTACAGGACCTTTAATATTTGTGAGCACACAACAATTTTTTTCACGGTTCGATAAAAAGAAAGAAAGAAGAACGAAAGAAAAATAATTTATTCACTACCAGGCATGGACCACCGAATATGAACACAAAAAATAACATTGAAAAACAAAAATAAAAAAAACAATAAGAACATAAAATAACATTAAAAAACAGCAGTAAAAAAAACAATGAAGACAAAAAAAATAATAAAAAAGCAAAATAAAAGAACAGGGTGGCATCATGTCCACGACGAAAGGGCTCGCCAACTCAGTTTAAGCTGGGCACAGAAAGTATCCAACACTGGTTTACAGTTGGCACCCCTGCAGTGACCCACGGACGGAAGCAACGAAAAATAATCTAAAGCAAAATACGATTATATAAGACACATGTAAATAAAGTGCATGCACATGCAAAAAATACAACCGATATTTTATAGCAACAAGTCGCATTACAAATCACTCCGTGTTTTTATTGCATAAAAATTACTAATAGATACATAAATCATTATCTATTATCGGACTTGCAAAGTCGCAGTTATTTGTGAACTAGTGATATATAAACTCTAATAGTGAAGTGTCTAAATACTATAGAAAGTGTAAGAAACGTTTGCATAAAGTTGCAATCCACCGTCTCAGACAATAATTAAGTGGTGTACCAACGAAACGCGTAAGCGACAAGCTGCGCACGGCGCTTACGACCTTCTTCTCGCGACCGAGAGTGCGCGCTGTGCTACAGAGTACCGGACAAGTTAAGAATATACCTCATAATTATTATTTTTTTATCTAATCCTTTGTCTTGGTGTTATTGATACACAAACGAATTCCGCTAGTATGTCTTATCAATCCGTTAAATCAGCGAGTTCTAAACTGTTATGGGGATGCTGTAACCAATCGGAGGATAATGGGAAGTATGCTAAATGTATTAAATGTCTTAAAGCATACCATAATACATGTCTTTCCTTACCTGATGATCATGATATACCTGCCAAGTGGCACTGCCCTGAGTGCTTAAACTCGGGCCCAAAACGTACCAAATCTGATAACACTCCTTTACGAAACACCTCAACAACCAGAAGTAATAAAAGGCCAGCGGTTGGATCCCCACCTTTAGCGCCTGCCGAAGTTACATTAGCACATGACGATATTCGTCAAGTTATAGAGGAAGTAGTTGGAAAGGCACAAACTGAAATGTTATCTAGGCTCACGGAAAGTATGAAATCTACCCTGAGCCACCTACTGAAACCAATAAAGGATCAAATGGAGAATATGGAAAAATCCATGGCATTTATGAACCAACAGTACGAAGATCTCTTAAAAAAGTACACTGCTTCGGAGAAAAATTTAAAGGAGTTACGCAAGGAAAATTCAGAAGTAAAAGGATTTGTAAGCGATTTTTCGTCACGGCTAATTCAACTGGAACAGCATACCCGAGCAAACAATGTTGAAATTCAATGCCTGCCCGAAAAAAGACAGGAAAACTTGATGGAAATTGTGTCACAGATATCTAAAGTGGTAAAAAGCGGTATTCGAGACGACGACATTAAGTACTGTACAAGAGTCGCAAAACAGAATAGCAACAATACCCGCCCGCGTGCTATCGTGGTACAACTAGCTTCCCCACGTTGTCGGGATCAACTTATCGCAGCTACCGTAAAATTTAATAAGCTTAATCCAGATAATAAACTTAATACAACACATTTAGGATACACAGGAACCAAAACCCCGATATATGTTGCGGAACACCTGTCTACCACCAACAAGGCACTCCATGCTGCTGCGAGAATTAAAGCCAAGGAAACTGGATATCAATTTGTCTGGGTGAGGGGCGGACGGATTTTCATGCGAAAAGCACAAGAATCAGAACACATTCTGATTAGGGATATGGATACGCTAAATAAGCTTTCCTGAGTTAAGTTTTAGTTTTTAGTTTTTAACTTTTGTATTTGTTAATGTAGCTGTACGTAAAATTCATTATTATTCTCAAACTTAAAGATATACTATCAAAATACTAGAGGCCTACGCACTAAATGTCATAACTTTTATCGTCAGGTTTGTTGTGAAAATTACGATATAATAATCTTAACGGAGACTTGGTTGAATGATTCTGTTATGAGTTCAGAGCTATTTGATGGTAGATATGCAGTTTATAGGCGGGATAGGAATAATCGAAGGAAAGATGGAGGGGGTGTACTTATTGCGGTACGTAAGGGAATACATTCGGTGCGCATGACCCAGTGGGAAAGCCACTGCGAGGATGTATGGGTGATCGTGAATATCTCAATTTCTAAATCTGTTCGTCAACTGGCTCTGTGCGCTGTTTATCTGCCTCCGCCTGTACTATATGGAACCTTGGAAAACTTTTTGAATTCATGTAACTCTGTATTTGAACAATCAGGTACGAAACTGTGTATAATTGGTGATTTTAATTTAGGTCACATCAATTGGAACTTGCTAAGTGAGCCTAATAGTGGCTATGTTGCACCAGGCATTGGTCTTTTGTTGACTGATTTTCTTAATTTGAACAATTTATCTCAACTGAATAATATACCAAATAAGTCAGGACGTATACTTGACCTTGCTTTGACTAACTTGACTTCCAGCTCTGTTTGCTCCGCTCCTAATCCCCTAAGCAAAATTGACCCTCTCCATCCTCCCATTGAAATACATTTTAGACCTTACAGTGAAGCAAGTCTGCCGTATAATGGTAACAAGAGACTCAATTTTTATAAGTTGGATTACGACAAGGTTCGTGAATATCTGAATGAGATCGATTGGTGCCATCTGTTTGGTGGCACTCTGGATGTTAATGACATGCTCAATATATTCTACAGCAAAATCAACGACGCCATTGAAAAACAAAATCCCCCCACCGTACGTAAATATAAATCACGACCTCCCTGGTTCGACAAAGATCTTATACGAACTCTGAGAGAAAAGGAGAAAATACGCCGGCGATATAAAGTGTATCAAAACCCCATGGATGAGCTTGAACTAAAGTTGCTGAGTAAACGATGCTCTGCTATGGCTACCTCTTGCTACAATAGGTATGTTAGAAACCTGGAAAACGTGATATCCAAGGATACCAAACGATTTTGGGCTTATATCAAAGACAAGCGAGGGGGTGCCAGCTCTTATCCTGTAACAATGACGGATGGCGTTGCGTCATCTTCAGATGGCGGGAGCATCTCAGAAATGTTTGCTGCTCATTTTTCTAAAATGTACAGCGAGCAAGATGTAACTCATCATTCACGTCCCACAGAGTATTTGCAGACTTTGTCAACTTACAGTTTACCTTTGATGGCACCAATAATTGACATAGATACCTTGCTCAATAAATTGAAGTCTTTGGATTGTCGAAAGGGTGCAGGAGCCGACGGAATTCCTCCTTACTTTATTTCCAAGTGTGCTTCTTCTCTGGCAGCCCCCTTACTGCAAATAATAAACCACTCGCTTACCTCTGGCATGTTTCCAAATAAATGGAAGGTGGCTCAAGTAGTACCGATTCACAAATGTGGTGATAGTAATTTTGTGGGCAACTATAGACCTATCTCGATATTGTCTACATTCGCTAAGGTATTCGAATCGCTGATAACACCCTACATCCAGTCTCACTTAAAGCTTTACCTTGCAAATTCTCAGCACGGGTTTGTGGGCTCCAGATCCACATGTACGAACCTAGTGTCGTTCACGGAGACCTTGGTAGGTGCCATTGATGCGGGGGGACAGGTTGACGTGATCTACACCGATTTTAGTAGAGCCTTTGACCGTGTCCCTCATAACATACTCTTGTATAAATTGAAATCTTACGGAATCACTGGCTCGCTCTTTGATTGGTTTGAGTCATATCTCGATAGTCGTACCTTCTTTGTCGCTCTCAATGGTTACCGATCTGGCTCCTACCTCGTCACATCGGGCGTTCCTCAGGGATCACATGTCGGCCCAGTGTTATTTAACTTATTTGTCAATGATCTCGCAGCGGAATTTAAGTTTTCTGAGACTTTCATGTATGCGGATGACTTAAAATTCTGCAGACAGATTGAGTCGAATCTTGATGCTGAGTTGCTGCAGAGGGATGTTGATAGATTGGTAAGATGGTGTGATGACAATGGTATGAATTTGAACACTAATAAGTGCTACCATATGAAGTTCACCAGAAAAACTAAATATATGCGATCTGCATACTACATCGGTGGAAGCTTGGTGCAGGAAGTCACTCAGATGAGAGATTTAGGAGTTGTGTTTGATGGTCAGTTAACGTTTGTTCCTCACATTGAAAATACAGTTAAAAAAGCATCTAGAATGCTGGGGTTTGTCATCAGAAATGTTACTTGCTTTCGCCAGAATCAGACTAAAATACTTCTCTATAATTGTCTGGTTCGTAGCTCTCTGGAGTATTGTAGCGTTGTATGGAGACCACACTATGCCACCCACACATTGAGACTGGAGCGGGTTCAAAAAAGATTTTTGTGGCACTTAGCGTACTCTTCTGGTATAGCTAATAAGAAGCCGTCATATGATGAGAGGCTGAGTCACTTCAAAATGATATCCCTACAAAAACGAAGAGACTCACTAGATTTATTATTTTTATACAAAATCTTGCGATATCATATTGACTGTCCCCAGCTTTTGAGCAAGCTCAGAATCCGTGTACCCTCCAAAAATCCACGAGCGCCTATAACTCCATTGTGTCCTCCACTACGCAGGACTGTACTTGGTGCTAATTCTCCGATCCCTCGTCTATGCAGGTTGCTGAATAGCTATAGTGACCTTGTTGATGTGCATTTGGACTCGCTTGGCAAGTTTCGCGTAAAGGTTAAGTTGATTCTTTATGGTGATGTTGCCCGAATGTAACTATTTTTGTTTGTTTTGTCTTTATGTTCACTTTTTGTTTTGCCCACTATTTATGTTCTCATTGTAAGTATCAATTGTCTTTATTGTACGTGCCGTAAATTTTAAATTTTAAGTTTAATATTCAATTTGTCTCCGATACTAGTTCTTCTTAGTTATTTTGAATGTTAAATCCATGTCAATGGTTGGATTTGCCTGATCATTATGATTTGTAAACCATTAAGTATATAACGCATGTTGTGCTTACCTATAATAGATTGATGCACTAGTATTTAAGTTTTCGTAAATGTAACCCTATATTGTATAAGTGTAATCAATTGTTGGTGAGCCAAATCAATAAAATAAAAATAAAATAAAAGTAAAAACGATTTATTTTATATACCTACTCACCAAAATATTTTGAAAGGTCTCATTTCTTATTCCACTCGTATTTTTAAGATTATTTGTACAAATGGTTTTTGAAAGAACAAAGAAAAATCCCATTTCTTTTATGATTTATAACAATAGCTTTGAAGTTATTGAAACAATGGTTAATGAGCGAGGGCAGAGGTCTCGTGTTTGCAAGAAATTAAATAATACCTGTATGAAAATATACAAGCACCTATTTGTTTTGGGTTGACTTCTAAATTGAAAAAAGCGGTGCAGTACGGTTCACAAGTTATGGCGGGTGTGAAGTTCGCGCAGAAAACTGCGCAATAACGTATTTTGGGAACCAAACGGCGACGTGTGCGGGACAGGGATATGCTAGGGATTGACTCTAATTAAACTCAATCGTTTCTTTATTTAATTAATTTATTTGCGAGTATACATGCGCAAAAGTGACTTGTGGCTAGCTTTACACCTGCCATAACTCGTGAACCGTACTACAGTACGGTTCCTTTGACCACTGATTTCGAATTCGACATGATCAATTCAAATTTTATTGCATCGCAAATAAAAATAAGCAAAGTTTTCATTACACAGAGGCCTTAGTACGAGTTCGTTTTATTTTACGTTTAAAGGAATCGAGACAAGACCGCGTTCGACTCTCTGATTGGCCGGCTTCAATGAACCAGCCAATCAGAGCGCCGAACGCGGTCTCGTTAAAGCTAAATCGTACTAAACCCTCAGATTATATTAAAGGGACGGTTTTTTAGCAGGAAAATCATCCAATAACCTCTTCCAACTTGAGTAAGGCGGGAGAGTGTCACTAAAAACCACTCCGTTCCTACTTCTACTTTGGGCCGAAGCCGTAACACCAGAGGACTAGACGAGTCATAGGTGCGTTTCTGGTTTTTAAAAAGGAATACGCTCGTTTTTTGAAACTTCAAAGATCGTATCGGTTCGGAAATACTGCCGACGACGGCAGGGCCAATTATAGGCTATTGATGATGATGATGATGATACTATATTTCCTAGCAAATATCAAAGCAAATAATTCTAATATATAAATAGTACCTGGTAACCTTATCCATTTTAACTATTGCTATCCTTATTAAGTCTCCGATGTAATAATCAGTCACGTCATTTAGTTTCCTGAAGGCTGTCAATACAATCTGACACACAATAACATGTGTTACAAATACGTACCTCTAGACCTAATTCCTAGAAAACTAAATGTAGTAATTACGTAACACATAGTACCTACCCACGTTTTCCTCGTTTTCTTGTAACATATTATTTTTTCAAGACATACCGTCACGTAAACAAAGTCGATTTTCGTTTTCGTGGAAATGGTACTATAAGGAACTTGTAATTTAGATATTGCCTGTAAGTGACGAGTTAATTGAGTAAAGTGACTTCTGCTAACCACGGCTATTATGGATGGCACGAGATGACGTAGTTTGCCACACTCATAGCTCATGATTATTAGCCCCAGTGCTCTTTGAAACTAGTCGAACATCCTCGAAAATATTACCCGACTTAAGGTCATCGCACAGCTAACAAGTACGGCTCCAAGACAGCAATTCACAATGTCAATCAACGCCGAAGGCGGATGGTCAGCGCGCGGTCCTCTTGAGATGTAGTTCCGGCCCCGAGGTGGAAGCGCGCCCGCTGCCGGCGACAGTGAGTCCAATGAATTAATAAAACGATTGTTTTTATGTATTTGAAAGAGTAAACTGAAGAAGCCATTGAAAAAAATGTAGATCCTATTTCGTTACTAGAAATGTTGAAATTTAATGATTGAATAATATGTATTAGGGAGAACGATTTTTACAATATAGGTATAATGTGTATATTATGTGCATATTATTAAGTATCCTTGGATAGACGAATCTGGAAAAAACGTTAAATAGGTACAAAATTTTCCATTCAATTTCATCTGTCTAGAGTATTCCTAAGTGGCACATCACATCAACAGCCTATACATATATAAGTGGCCACTGCTGACCAAAGGCAATCAAAGGCCTCTTTTCTCACAGAGAGGATTTCAACATCCTCACGCCTTCTCAATGCGGATGGGCAATTCCAAACTTATAATTAGAAATCATAAGCCCAGGTTTCCTTCACCGTTTGTCAGTGGTATCTAAATAACCTAAGAAAGTACATACATTTAACTTCGAAAAAGTCACATTGGTACTTGTCCTTGGAAGGTTTTTGCCACAGTACTCTAATAAATTTCTAACCTTTGACATAATATAAAAGTAAATTGAATAGCGTGTAGTATTAAAAAGATTATCCAAATTCTAACCCGCACCGTCTAACACAAATGTGTTGAAAAGAAAATAATAAACTGTTTAGAGCTATATTTTAAGTACAACATTACAGTCTTGAATATCAATTGTATGGTATTAACTCTAAGCTTAGGTGAAAACACTCATTCAATATTAAAGTATAACATTTGAGATTTATTTTTGTGTGACACTTTAATGAAAACGTATACCCAGTATTTGGCTAAGTGTATTAAGTTTTTTTTACTTTTATTTATTTATATGATACTCGAATTACTTTACGAAAACAAATTGGATTGCTATGGATATAGACTGTCTGGGAATGAGAAGTTCGCTGGTATTTATAGCTGTATCATATTCTAGGAAGATTTATTGGCTAAGTTAGATTTGATAATTGTATTTTTAGATCTGTCAAGTAAATTAGGGATTGGTGTCTGTTTAAATTTTTCAGGCCTTTTGGGACTTAAGAATTTGCGGATTGTTGGGGTATTCAGGGATTGAGGAGATTGGATTAGGGGGGGGATAATCGCCCCACATAACCCGGCCTCGGCCCCGCAAGGCCGGGTATGCACGGCATTTTCCCCGGGCGAAATAAAAAAGGGGGGGGGGGGATAATTAAGCCTCCCCGGTAATCTCACTCGCACGACGAAACTCAACGCAAGCGGTGTTTCACGTCGGTTTTCTATGAGGCCGTGGTATCACGCCGGTTAAGCCGGCCCATTCCTTTTGATGCATGGCGCTCCCACACTCATAATTGATATCCATTCTCAACATATTAAGACTTTTATAAGCAGCACATAGATACATATAAATGTTGCTTTTTTTCTGTCTATTGTAAGGGAAAACTATTTAATATAATTAACTAGCTTCTGCCCGCGACTTCGTATGCGTAATCCCATTTTTTCCCGTCCTCATTCGTGATTTTCGGTAAAAAGTAAAATAAAAGTATTGGTTTAAAAGTATCCTATGTCGGTCCCCTGGCTTTAAGCTACCTCCTTATCAATTTCCAGCCAAATCTACTCTGCCGTTCTTGAGATATAAGTGGTGTAACTAACACGACTTTCTTTTATATATATAGATGTAACTACTCGGTTGTTCTTTTTTTATCTCTTCATTTGTTTTGTAAAATTAGTTATTATGTTTGTTTAATTAATATCATTTAAACTGTTAATGTCTAATTTGTGGTCCGCGAGTCACTTAAGAGGCCAGTAGAATACCAGCGCAAGGCCCTGTCTTGCACGTGCTGAACTGGTCCCATTTTACGGCAGACTTGGAACATGAACATATATTCATCAGTTCCTTCTAATATCCTAATGATTTATATGCATGTCACTTGTTTTAAGAGTGAATTAAAGTTTATTCTTTCTTTCACCTATTTAGTACTATTTAGTAAGTGAGGAGGAGCCACCGTAGAACAAAAAATTACCCTCATTACCGAGACGCTGGAAAAAGGCTAGTTGCGTAGCCATCTTGACTAGTGTTTATACGAGCATGATAAAATGTAAAAAAAAAGTAAGTAAGCAAGGACAAGAAGTTGTTAGAGCTCTTTAGTTTTTATCTACCCTTGAACAAATTGTATTGGACTCCGCAACAAAGTAATCAGAAAATAACACTGAAGATGAAGAAAGAAATAGTTGATCTGAGTACTGATTACAAAATCGAGTGCATCCATCTCATTTCTTGGTACCCTGGTTTTAATTTAAATCCGTCTTTGCGTTGTTTGTTTTAGTTCCAGGAACCAGGAACCAGGAAGGTATTAATTAATGTATCTATTGTCGTGTTTTAATTAAAGTTTTGTAACGAAATCATGACGTTGCAAAGTTTTGAATTTAGTTTTGAGCAAGCAAAGAATTTACAAGCAAATTGCTTTGAAAAAGCAAGCAAAATGTAAAAACTTTGCAGAACAGTTCTTTGCCTTGTTTTTATAATAACTATCGTGAGACATACTAAATCAACTTAAAAGCGCGGGTTACTCACCTGAATATACTGAGAAAATCTCTACTACCTACTAGCCTATTGAACAGTAGGCTGCGCGACATCGCCGCGACCGCGCGCGCTACTCATGAGGAAGAACCCCTCTGTGGTTCGAAACTAGTAGAGCTTTTCTCAGTATATTCAAATGAGTAATCTGCGATTTTTAGTTGATTTAGTTTTCTGCTTATTCTTAAATATTTGATTTAAACTGTCAAACACCAAGCGGTCACCGGTGACCGCAACCTATTGTTCTATAATTGTGTCTATAATGACGGTACTCGACGAGTTAATGTGTAAACATAATTTATTCTTGCTGATCGAAATTTCAATATGCCGCCGAATGGTCGCAAGTGCGATTGTGAGGCTAGGGGTCTCAACTTCAATTCCCGGGTCTGGCAAAGTATTACTGGGGTTTTTAAAAATTCTCAAGTAGCATGGAGTTTGGAATTGTCCCGAGTGTATGGCAATAGGCTCATATATAACATGGGATTCATAACATAAATAGTGAGTGTTAGTTAGTACGTGGGTGTTACATTGTACAGTGGCATTAAGTGCCGTAATGTCTGTGCCTATCCCTTCGGGAATAAAAGGGTCATAATATTGGAGATCATAAAATTAAATTAGTTTTTAAACAGGCCAATAAACAGTAATAATTTTGTTATAATTACATTAACTAATATATGACAAATATTTAAAGTTAAACTTAACTTAATTAACTTAACTTTAATTTAAATTCATTATTATTATATCACCATATCAGCCACAGGACGTCCACTGCTGAACATAGGCCTCCTTCTATGACTTCCAGATAGGCCGGTTGGAAACGACCTGCATCCAGCGGCTCCCTGCGACCTTAATAAGGGACAAATATTAATTTCTCAATGTTATTAATAAAATAAACGATGTCTTCATAAAAAAAACTTAGAAAACGCAATATAGGAAACCTGCCATAGAATCTTCTAGCCACTTAATCTACTTCCATCAACATTATTTCCCTTGAGGAGGAATGAAATTTCAAGATGGCGCACATGTCCATTTTAATTTCAACACGTGCTAAACTTGACCTTTTTGCAGAGCAATTAGGGTCTATATTTATGTGGCCTTCTAAAAGTTAGTCTCTAAAGATCTCTTTAGTTTAAGTATAATTGAGCTTAGTCTTGTTTGGAGGACGAACTTAATTGGAGCAGATTCTTATTTACTGATTTGGGGATTTGGTTTATATATACGAACATCTTTGAGTCTATCCAAGACAATTTATTAGTCGAATGCTCGTAAGTTCTACCGAATAGGAGTATCAGCCCAGATTAGAGTACTGTCGCAACCGAAAGCTGGGCTCGCTGTCATTGCCCTCTCTTTGAGGAGTGGCTTGAGAGACACTACGGCGTCCTCACCTAATGCCTGACACAGGTGCTTACCGGACACGGAAGTTTCAGTAGGTTGCTGTTTCGGATTGCGCTGGAGGAAACGCCCGGGTGTCATCACTGCGAGGATTGCCCGGAGGACGCGGTGGAGCATACGGTGGCGGTGTGTCCTGCGTGGACTGAGCACCGCCGTGTCTTCAGGAATGTGATCGGCGACGGCGATCTCTCGCGTCCGGCTCTGGTTCAAACCATGGTACGGGGCGAGGGGAACTGGGATGCCGTCTCCTCCATCTGCGAAGCAGTCATACTAGCTAAGGAGGAAGCGGAGCGCGTGAGAGAACGAACCTCCTCACCCCCCAGCCGTCGCGAGAGACACTCCGGGGGTTGGGGACCGCTAGACGATCTCCAGCCACCGTAAGCACAGGCCTGCGGACGGTGAGCACGGGTGACGCCCGACTAGGACCAGGCCCGAGCGTACGGAGCGTCGCGTTCCGCGCTTGCCTCTAAGAGCCATCAGACAATCACAGATGGGGCCAAACAGGGCTGATGCCGATACGGAACCGCGGACGACTTAACGGGTTGCCGGGGTTTCGGCTTGAAGTGCAAGAGTAGGAACGGGGTGGTTTTTAGTCAGTAAGAGTCTGACACTCCCTCTCGCCTCACCCAGGCGGGAGCAGTCATCGGATGATTTTCCCCACCCAAAAAAACTCACTGTAATTTGTGCCTGTGTTAATCTTACTTAACCCAAAGTCTGAGTTTCTTGAAGGGTAACAAGTAGCATAACCAGGGTGTCTTCAAGACCCGAGTGAGTAGGTTGCTTATGAGTAGACGTACTCCATCGTAGGCCGCATCGTCGCTTATCACCAGGCGAGATAGTGGCCGCACATCAGCCTATCATTATAAAAAAATAAACAGGACTGCAGGACTTAGATTTTTATTCATATTTCTATCTTTAAGCTCATAGGTATAGCAAACACGTCTACTTGTTAAGAACAAGGGAGTGACTTGTAACTTTGTCTACAGATCGGCTGGAAGTACACGAACGCGTGGTTGGTGGGCAACCTGATGTGCAAGCTGCTACTAGTGCTGCGAGCCTTCGGTCTCTATCTGTCTTCTAACGTCCTCGTTTGCATCTCTGTTGATAGGTGAGTACTGTATCTTCATCATCACTGTCATCGTTATCATTAGCCTGGCTACTGCTGGATGTAAGTTTTGTGCTAAAGTATGTTACTGCGAGTTCCATCTTTAGCTTAACCCTCTGCAACTGACGTGGTTAAATTGTTACAATTCAACTGAGGTGTATATTATACCAGACACCATTTCAACAGCAAATATTTTTGTAGAATTAAAGTATAGCGAGCACTATACAGTAAGGTACTCGCAGCAGTGATGCTCGTATTTGAAAAATGACGGTATAACACGTGATTTTGTATTTCGCGGTGTCTGTGGCACTACACGTCAGCTGCAGACGGTTTATTATGTTTCTCGGCTTACTCACGTAATTGTTTGCAAATACTGTCTCGTTGCAAGTGCGATTGCCGTGCAAGGGGTCTCGGGTTCGATTTCAGGGTCGGGCAAAGTATTACTGTGTTTTTTTTAATCTCAGTCATCTCAGGATTTGGGAATTAGGGAGACTGGAGAGGGGGGGGGGGGTAATTGTACACGTCAAACAAAAATGTCCTTTAAATTTCTGGTATGTCGGAGCGCAGATCGTCGCGAGACACGATGCGTTTTTATTATGTCTCATATATCGATAGACAAGATGGCCGACTGAGATGTATCTACTTCTTTAACTTTTATGTACAAAACGAAAAAAGGTGTGTGTCTGTTGGTATTGGTACACCAATTATATTCTTTGTTGTTGTTGCCAACCCTAAATAAATCGTTTTGTTGTGTACTGAGTACCAAGCACGAATACCTATCGCATTCGTAAAGTAATAGTATCGAGCGCGTTCGGCGCTCTGATTGGCCGGCTCCAGTAAATCAACCAATAATAGTAATAATTAGTGAAATTAGAATTACAATTTGAATTAGAATTTGAATTTGAATGAAACGAATTTGGTTTAAAACTTTAATAAGTTTCGATACACGTGTCGAAAATGTGGTCGGATTGCGAAATTCATTGTGAAAATGATCGGCGTACAGAGGGCCTAATACGAATTTGTTTTGCGTAAAACGTTACCGCGTTCGTCGTTAGGATTGGCTGGCTTTAATGAATCAACCAATCAGAGTCGATCTCGTTACCGTAACACATATTCGTACTGTGCCCTCAGTTTAGCCCCGAGCGTATCTCGTATCGATACATTTCAACTTCGAGTGATACCCACACTGTTTTAATTGGAATCAGTTCCATTTCACGAAAATGTGAAGCTATTCCTTATACTTATTGTAATATCGGTTACCGTTTCGGTAAGCGGTTTTGCTCGTAGAATATTTTAGTTGTAGGTACTGTCTATTCAAATTATTTCGTAACTAATCTTAACACTTTGAGTAGACGAGTACTTTGACGCCTAAATGAAGGGTATAATTTTTGTTGATTTCTTTTTTTTTACTTTCTTATTATTTAATATTTTAGTTGTAGTTAATTTTAAATTGGTAAATATTGGTGAAGGTTTATTTATGATGTATGTTTGAATTGAAAAAAAAAAAACAAAAAAGAATAGGTACACAAGTAAAGAGAATGTATATATATAAAAGAAAGTCGTGTTAGTTACACCACTTATATCTCAAGAACGGCAGAATAGATTTGGCTGGAAATTGGTAGGGCGGTAGCTTAGAGCCAGGAGACCGACATAGGATACTTTTTAACTAATACTTTTTTTTTACTTTTTACCGAAAATCACGAACGAGGACGGGAAAAATGGGATTACGCATACGAAGTCGCGGGCAGAAGCTAGTTTATTATATATGTTTAAATTATCTGTGGCAACCTAGCCACTTTCAAGACTGGAAACCTATTTATATTCTTCTTTTGTTTTATAAAGTTAATTGAGTGTGCTTCTGACTAGCTTATTTAATTCATGCGTAAAATTTATAACAGTTATGCTTTTACTACTTTATTTACACGTTGACTACCTTGTCGGCCGAGTCGCAAGTGTGACTACTGGGCAAGGGGTCTCGGGTTCGATTCCCGAGTCGCGATGTATTACTGGGTTTTTAAAAAAAATCTTAGTTAAATGGAAATAGGGAGTGAGCCTATTGCCATATATTATGCCGAGCATAATTCAAATGGTGTTGCATTGTACAGTAGCATTAAACTGTCAAACACCAAGCGGTCGCCGGTGGCCGCAACCTATTGTTCTTTAATTGTGTCTATAATGACGGTACTCGATGAGTTAAGGTGCATATTACACCTCTACCTACCCCTTCGAGGATAAAAGGCGTGATGTTATATTATGTGTTGTGCTCTTACGTTAAAATTCCTGCAACTTTTATTTACGTGAACTTTATTATGTATTTACTTTAATGATCACTTTTTAAACTATTATTTTCCTCTTTATTTATCTACTAGCTTTTACCCGCGGCTTCGCTCGCGTCGCAAAAGGATAACACTAGCCTATGTGACATATCCCAATACACACAGCGCCATCTATACCAATTCTTTTGTTTTCCCTCGGGAATATAATTTTTTTTCGCGGGATTAAAAGTACCCTATTATTTAATCCAGACTTCTAACTTAATGTCTGCAAAAATTCAAAGCAATCGGTTTAGTAGTTACGGCGTGAAATCGGAACAAACAAACAAACAAACTCACTTTCCGATTCATAATATTAGTAAGGATGGTATGTTCAATTAGAAAGTTTATAATGACCTACATGTCTGTTTAACTTACCTACATAAAGAAAAAGAAATGGCATAATTATATACGTTAAATACAATTTTTTACAA